GAAACTTATTGAGATGTATACAAAAAAAATGGTTTTGTTGAAAACAATATGCATTTTTTGGTATAATCTAATCTTGTAAATTGAAATCCATAAGATTTTCAATAACTATTTTAATTCTAAAATAGTCAAGTGAATTTGCATAAAATGGAAAATCTATTACTATGTTAAGCAATCTCATATAAAAACTATTCCTTTTGTCCCATTTTATAAGTTTTTTTAGTTAAAGCGCGAAGATTAAGAAACAATTAAAAATATTGTTTATTACTTAATAAAAACATTTTAACCAATAAAAAAAATATACTGCAAAATATATATGACCATAACCTATTTAATTAATGTATAAAACTTTGCATATAAACTTGAATAAATCAAATAAAATGGAACAAATTTTTTTTTTTGGGTCGAAATAATGGAACAAATAAAATCTTCTAAAACATCTAATAAAATTTTCTTGATTGGGCGGTCATTATGTGTATATAAGTGTGTGACTTTGATTTCGTATGCAAAAAAGTGTTTAACTTTCGAAATATGGGGAAAGACATTGAGGTTTAATAACTGTGTGGATATAGAGATATAAGTTTGGTTTTGGGGGGAAATAAATAGGCGACCCAATAAAATGGGACAGAAGAAATATCAGTTTTGAATTCATGTGGGAACTCAAATGTATTCTCAAACAATTATACTTAGAAGTCTAAAAGTAAATACTACTATTCTAGATACAAAATCAGATCTTGAGATAAATGCCTCATTCAGAACATTGTATGCACGACTTAAATTACATTCATAAAACTCTTATATGAGAAGCGCATGAAATAACTTCATTTAAAGACTTTTTAGTGATTATAAATGTTAGTAGTTGGCAAATCTAATTTACTTGATCCTTCGTGGCATGTTACAAAACATATGTATGTCTCGGAATGCAACAGATTTGGTTCCCCAAACTTCTCTTTATAACCAAAAAATCATAGGTTGTCAAAAACAAAATAATATTGTGGTCTATACAAATTAGGAATTCCAAACGTTAACGCTAGATGACAAACAACCCTAACAATAATTTGTTTTTCCTCAGATTTGGAACTACATTGAACAAAAATAGCTTGCATTGCATTCAATTCACTTCAAAAAAAAAAGCTTGCATTTAGGTTTTATTCGTAAGGAATTTTGAATACCAACATGGGTTACACAAAGCCAGTAGACATAAAAAGTCTTCGAATAGTGAGCAGACCGAAAAACATGTTTTCTTCATAAACTAAATCTCAAAAAGAGAGATAGAAGAACTTAAAATAGAAACAACTATCTAGTTGAGACGAACAGAAAACATTTAAGTTCGATATGTTACTAAACCATCTGGCCACCAAATCTTTCAAATTCTAAGAGAATCTTTGAAGGCGAAATATCGAAGGAACCAATATCGAAAAATCCAATGGTAACATAAATCTCCCCTAACAAAACAAGACTACCTCTCAAATCAGAACATAGGCTTCATAATCTGATAAAATATGTTCTAGGAAGAGACTATTAAACGATCATTCAGATGTGGTAAAATTGATATATGATTGATAACGCTTCAATAAAAGTTAATAAAATTTACCAACCAAACTTGAAACGTACCATAAGGAGCGATTACGAATCATACCAAATGAGCTCATCTCAGCACACTGAGATAGACAGCTGTTCAAAACCAATGAGACACCAAGTAAATCTTTAAAGAAACAGAGAAAATTGTTGAAGTAGAAAACGAAACGTAAAAAGCTAGACTCAGTTGCGTCCTTGCCTTAAAAAGGGAAAGGGTAAGTCGTGGACTACCAATCAGCAACAACTGTTTGGAAAGATGTGGAACATATCTCAACCAACACGAACTTGAAAGCACTATTTGGTTAGAGTCGCAAGAGACACTATAGAGAGATGAATCTAGCGATCCAAACTTTGGCAAACCGGCTAGATGTTTTCGTCGATGCAGAAAAACAGAAATGATAAAAAAAAAAAGAAGAAGAACTTGTAGTGTTAATATACTAGCCACTATGTACTTTACAAAAGTTGATAACTTGGTACCACTAGACCTCCGACAACCAAAACCACAACGAGATATGTTGACTCCAAGGTTGACAAGCTCTATCACCCACCCAAGATAGAAAGAAAAGATATACCACGAAAAGATTGATTATCGGTACTTATAGAATTATCGGAGGCGGGTAAAATTTTCTTAACGATAAAACTAAACATGTTAATGGTAACTTATACTTTTCGGAAAAAAAG